AGTTCTGCTTCGACACCGGCCACCTTGAAGGGATCTAGTCCTTCAATCATTCGGCATAGGTAGCACGGCTAGTTTGTGGATGGGCCGTTGTACGACTCCAGACTTTGTTGTGACGTCTGCGACGCGCATCTTGCCATCTGCCCCCGTAATTGTTTTGGTGAGTCTGCCTAGCACCCACTGTTGCGGTGGAACGTTGTCCTCGTGGACGACGACGAGTTGGCCTGGCTCGACGTTGGGCTGCGGTTGGGCCCACTTGTTGCGCTGCTGGAGCTCCAACAGGTAGCTCTTCGACCACGCGCGCCAAAACTGCTGCTTGTGAAAGCAAACAAGCTGCCATCTGTCTAAGCAGCGGCTGGGACTGTCGGGCACTTTCTCCGGTGGCAGAGCTCGCAAGGGGCATCCGATTAATAGATGCGCGGGAGTTAGCGCTTCGCCGTCGTTGGGGTTGCTGATGAGCGGTGCGAGTGGGCGCGACTTGTCCCACTGTATCCTTCACTTCAAAGGCAGTATGTAAATATGTATGTATGCATGATGCAATAATACAAGGTGTTATCAGTTGGCAACTTCTCGCTCTAATTCCGCCATATTGACTACCTTACGTGAAACAGTGTTACTTCTTTCACTATTCTTTGCCCATTAATATAGTTGAATGCTTTTTATTTTTTCTCAGTATACACACTTTGTTTTCTTAAAAAGGTATTTTATCTTATTTTATTTCATTTCATAACGAATATACTATAAAAAAGCAAATTTTGTTAAGGAGAAAATGTGAAATTTTATATTTTTCCCCCATATGGGGATTCATTTCTTCCCGTTTTTCTTCTCATTCTACTGAGCTAAGGTAGTGTCAAATCGAGCTGTCACAACTGATACCACCTTGTATTATTGCATCATGGTATGTATGTATATACGAGGCCTATTTGCATGCAATATATATACATATATGTAATTGGCGCAATTGAAATGGATACAAGAAATGCCAAAAATCGAAGCTTGTATTCTTTGTAAGACGATTATCAGTAACTTTAATAATGAAATCAATTACAAAGCCAAATATTTCGTATGCTTCAATTGTTCGCACTCAATACCTGTTTATCATGGACCGGTTTGTTTCCAGCCTTCACTTCCCTCTTGCAGACGATACACTCGCAGTTCATTCCCGCGATGTCCAACGATGCAGCGGTAAATTTATGCAGCTTCCCAGTAACACAGTAGCAGTTCCAACGCAGAAAGTAAGCAGCAGCTCCAACGGTAGGTAAGTATGTATACGATAAGAAATAAGTAGCAGTTCCAACGGGGACTTTTTAGTGGTAAGTTATTTGATTCCGTTTTGCGAACTATTTTTTGTTTATTTATGTGTGTGTAAAATTTCGTTTTTAACAGCCGTATGCCTTTTAATTGTGCTTGTATATATGTCTATATATTTTTTTTTTAATTATTCTTAATTTTAAGGCCGTATGCCTTTTAATTGTGCTTGTATATATGTCTATATATTTTTTTTTTAATTATTCTTAATTTTAAGGCCGTATGCCTTTTAATTGTGCTTGTATATATGTCTATATATTTTTTTTTTAATTATTCTTAATTTTAAGGCCGTATGCCTTTTAATTGTGCTTGTATATATGTCTATATATTTTTTTTTTAATTATTCTTAATTTTAAGGCCGTATGCCTTTTAATTGTGCTTGTATATATGTCTATATATTTTTTTTTTAATTATTCTTAATTTTAAGGCCGTATGCCTTTTAATTGTGCTTGTATATATGTCTATATATATTTTTTTAAATTATTCTTAATTTTAATTTTTGTGTGTTTTATGCACTACGGCCCACTGTCACTACACTCTATTTGTTCTTTGCTTATTTTTATGGTTTGTGTGTTTGTATTTTTGTTATGCGAGACGACTGACTGTCACGGACCGCGCAGGCAACTAAATAAACGTTATATGTACTCGTATATTGATGTATTGTATCAAATGAGTTTAAGTTTTTTAGTAATTAAGGACTTCTTATTTCAATAGTTTGTCCAAATCACTTTGTATGGCAATTAATCGCCTTTGCTTCTAATAATTTAGCAAATTCACTTATATTTGTTAATGCATTTCGCACTAAGTCCCTGATTTGTGCTAAATTGGTTTGTATACTTTTTTTATCAGTTTTTGTCACCTTTAGAGGAGCGCGAAACACTACAAAATTATTTCCTATTTAGTTGCCTGGGAGAACAAATAATGACCGCACGGTTCCGATATTACAATTCAAGTGTTTATTACAATTCTTCATTTCATATTCTTAACCTACTGCCTAACCTAACGGCTTAACTTAGAGGTATTAATCAGGAGAAGAACCGGGGAAACATGAGAGAGTAAGAAGGGGTAAGTATACATAGGTAAGTACATAAGATGATAAGTATGTAGTGGCAAATATACAGAGGTAAGTATATACAAGTGTAAGAGATAGTAAACATGAAGTAAAAGCGAGAAAGGTAAGTAGAGCGAAAGTAAGTATATATGTAGATATTTGCATAAATACGAAATTAAATAGAATATATATATATATATATATATATATGTGTACATGTGTGTTTCTATTCAAATACATTTCATATTTCAATTTTTATTTTGTTTATATAGCTAATGTATGTATATAGTTCTGCTTCGACAGTAGTTTTTGTGGAATTTGCAGATAGATGGAATGTAAGCGGTTCCAGAGACAAGCTAGAAGACTTGGATCCCCGCTTAAATTTTTGCCCGTCGTCTATTAAGATTAGTATACTATATTATTAGATAAACTGATTCAGAAGAAGCTGGTATCCTTTGTTGAATGTGCGCAAAAGAAATCAACACATGATCTTTACTGTCATTTGACACCGTTGGATTCTTTATATTTTAATGATGAGCTCAATGCTTATACTATAAGTTTGATCTTCCGAGCTAGAGGTGGTCTACTTAAGCTTAACGCAAGAGCGGCTGACTTCCAAAACTTATCAATACATTATTTGGAAACTGTTATACTGCGGTATTCAAACTGTTTGCATATGCAGAGTTGCGACACATTGCAACCATATACATTGCATATTTTAAATACTTAATATAGCAATGAACATTTTTTCTGAATTTTCCATTTTTAAAACACCAATGGTAACCAATAACAAACGAAGCATCAACTTTGTTTCTGATGCGCTAGCGATGCGTTTCGATAAATTTTCGGATGCGTTTTGGTAAAGTATACATCGTCAACATTTGGTAGTTCGGCGTTATGTAACATTATACTTTGTACGTATGCAAAGCAATTGACGTTTTGGATGTCAGCCAGCCTTTGCTAATGCTACATCTTCAACCTGTACTGTTTGCAATCTAAATGTTGTTGAAGATACATTCCATTTTATTGGTGTGTGCCCTAGTTATTCTAGCATCCGTTCTAAGTGTTTCGGTGAGACAGTTTTGGATTTGCCTCATGTGTTAAATATCCTTAGACGAAACAATAACTTTCCCTTTATGAATATATTAGTAATTGCTTAAAATATAGAGATTTAATAATAAATAAATTCGCTTAATTTTAAATTAATGTACGATGCAGACATACAACTTTAAATGTTAAATGTCTAGAACTTATTTATTTTATGTTATTTTTAATGTAAGTCAAAGCAATTGTAAAATATATTTTAAATATGTACTGAATAAATAAATATACTACTACTACTACTACTACTCGTTCGGATGGACAGAAACGCTCCTGCTCTGAAAATATTCAACGCGGGCCGCGATGCTGGGAACAGAGGAAGAGGAAGGCCTCCTCTGCGTTGGAAAGACCAGGTGGAGAAGGACTTGGCTTCACTTGGCATTTTCAATTGGCGTCAGTTAGCACAGAAGAGATATGACTGGCGTGCTGTTTTGGACTCGGCCAAAATCGCTTAAGCGGTTACAGCGCCAAATAAGAAGAAGAAGAAGACTACTACTACTACTATTAGAATTTCATTTTGTACGGGAGGTGCCACGCCTCCTTTTTCAATACCTAACATTTTTCGGCGTAGGTTTGGTATTTACAATTTATGCATCCGTGCTAAGTTTCAGTTCTCTAGCGTAATTGGTTTTAGAAATATATCGGTATTCATTTTATTCTGTATGTCAGATGCCACGCTCCCTATGTAATGGAATTAGGGGAAGTTATATCCTTTAAATCGGTGTATGGTTCATTGAAATCGAGCGAACGTTGCCCTCAAAAAAGGGAGTTCAAAATTTTCTCGTGGCGTATTTATATATAGATTTTGCATAATTTTTAGACCCCGCTCTTCGGTATCATTTACAATGCACAAGGAGTTATTTGGAATAAATCGTTGCATAATACTGTATTTGTGATTTATTTAATTTTGGTTTTAACCAAAGCGGGAATACTCAAATTTGATGGTGGACACCTCAACTGTACAACTTCTTTTGCTCACCGTATTTCTGTCGTTTTTCTTTGAATATCCCTCAGTTCTGAACTTTTCAAATGCTTTTTATTATTAGGAAAAGCAAAATAAAACAAAATAGGTTAATAGCCTACATATATCTTAATACTAACTTTCTAAAGTATGAACCAAATCGAACCATAAATACGAGTTTACCAAATATCTCGACTCCTGCGGCTCCTAGCGGATTATTTCATCCTTCACATTACATTGTCTCATTGTTTGAACTCAGTCTAACTCATCTGGAAGTTGGTGAAATATTGATTGCAAAATTCCAGGACATACATACATATGTACACATGTGAAGTTAAATAAAAGCTTTTAACTCGTACGTTTCTTTGCTGGCTGAGTGCATTAAAACTGGCTGAAGGATAGCGCAATAAACATGTGAAGTAACAAGACAGCTTTCTCGTTTTATTTTCTGGCCCCCCCTCATAAAATATTTGAAATCCAAACATTTTTAATAGTATTGAAAACTAAATCTAAACTCGTATATTTTGTATTGAAATGGAATGCCTAACATTTTCAAAAACCCATTTTCACCTGTTTTTTCAGAACACAACTGCAGCATTAATAGAATTACAGCAAGCTAATATGCATTTGGATATATCAGCCCATTTGATAAAATCAACAATTTCGCGTGACTCACCAGTATTACGGGTCCTTTTCCACGCCGGTACAGATCCAGGTGGACACTTACAAAGACAAAGGATTTGCGTTCTATTGCACATTTCACTGGGCACTCAAGTTCCCTTAAAAGGTCGATGCATGCCGGAAGGTGAAGATAATGTGTGTGTCGCTGAGGTAAATTTAATTTAATATTAAATAAGATATATTAGTAAAAAATTGTTTTTTGTTTTTGCGAAAGCAACTCCTTTGTGTATTCATGTATTTATTACTTATTACATCATATTAATATACAGAAACCTCCGCAAAACTAATTGAGAAAAATATGGTAATAGATTAGAGCATAAACTAAGCAAAGGTTCACTAAATACAACTGTCACAATAAATGAGGACCTTCATAATATTGTAAAAACCTAGAAGAGATTATGAGGAAGGACTTCGAAAGATCAATCTCAGTGAGTATGGCGGGAAAGAAATCCTCGCTTTGGTGGGACCTCAGAACTCAAAGAGAGACTAAGGGCTGGTTTCTCCAACTCAACTTAACTTAGTTAAGCCAATTTTCTTGACTTGGTCAAGAATAAGCTGTGTAAAACGTAGGCTAACTTCTGACTTAAGTCCAAAAAGTGGCTAAACTAAGTTAAGTTGAGTTGGAGAAACCAGCCCTAAAAGATCATATAATAATTGAGGAGATCTATGGTTAAAATCCTGGCAATCTTATTGTTCTTCCATAGATAACACTAAGGAATCAGTCAGGCTTTGCAAAGTCCTGTCGAAAGAACACAGCCATGTAAAGGTCATAAAGGGAGAACACGTGATGTGAAGGAATTCAGCATGTGACTTTAAACACACTAGTCAGGTTTCATTAGATCAGGTCACTAGGTTTGCTTTGAACTCCAGGCCCCTGCTCCATAGGTTTTCATTGGTTTGACAATCATAGTATACATCCATCTGAGTATCCGAGGGCAAGACGTTTGCATACCATAATACTGGTGTGGCTTTGAATGTCGTCATGTCGACGTGTTTTTTTCCATCAGAGCTTTGTGTTAAGCGTGATGCCCAAATCTCACTTCGGAAACACTCTTGACCTCTGTGCCATCCAAATATTTGGTTCCACATATAATGAATTTATTTTTTCAACTGTTAATTATAAATATACTAGCTTTTACCCGCGGGTTTCACCCCACGTCTTTATACAGATATGGGAAATACTTTATGTAAAGATCCCAATAAACATTGTGGCGAACGTTCGAAAATGACGTCCGATATCCAATGTGCATATCGAACTGAGAACGAACTCATATCCAACCTTAGTTTTCCAACATTCGTAACAAGAGAGAAAGTGAAATCCAGCTCATTCTTGAAGGGAAATATAAGACTCTCTCCCATTAATATTTCAATTCGATAATGGGCTGGATTTCGAATTCATAACGATGGGGAAAATATATTGGATAACGAAAATTCCGTTTTGCTGGAGAATGGTCTAGTTCTCGAATGGAATATCAACCTATTCCACATTCGTTATCGAAGGTGAGACTCGAAAAAAAGATTCGTTTTCCAATCATTTTCGAATTGTTAACCAAGCCCAATGTTTATTGGGACGTTATACTCTCTTTCTGCTCTAATTTTACTATAGCCGCGGTAGCAGACCGCTGTATGGATTGGGTGTTATGAAATTACATGCAATAATAATTTTTTGGCTCTGCAGGTGTTTTTATTTAGGTTAAAATATCTCCAATAAGTTATATAATAGAAGAAATAGTATCTAATTTCTTATGAATAATTACTCTAATATGATTTCAAAGCATTTTTTAATACTGCAAAGTATCTATTAACATAAATGCATTTTCCAGTACAATTATCATACGTTTTATTTTCGATAAAGTTTCGGGTTTTACTTTAAGGCATTCTTGTTTATTGTCATTGCCAAAGCTAAGCGAACTGGAAACTGAAGTCTTTTAAATTCGAAAGGCATATCCAAAGGAATTAAAGGAGTCATGTGAATTGTGGTTCCGAAGTTATGGCTGATAAAAATTTTACGCCTATATTATGTGCCACGTCCCCATTTACAAACTCATTTATATAAACCTTACTATAAGCACCTACCATTGATATGTTTGTCATGTGACTTGTGGTTCCGAAGTTATGGCTGATAAAAATTTTACGCCTATATTATGTGCCACGTCCCCATTTACAAACTCATTTATATAAACCTTACTATAAGCACCTACCATTGATATGTTTGTCATGTGACTTGTGGTTCCGAAGTTATGGCTGATAAAAATTTTACGCCTATATTATGTGCCACGTCCCCATTTACAAACTCATTTATATAAACCTTACTATAAGCACCTACCATTGATATGTTTGTCATGTGACTTGTGGTTCCGAAGTTATGGCTGATAAAAATTTTACGCCTATATTATGTGCCACGTCCCCATTTACAAACTCATTTATATAAACCTTACTATAAGCACCTACCATTGATATGTTTGTCATGTGACTTGTGGTTCCGAAGTTATGGCTGATAAAAATTTTACGCCTATATTATGTGCCACGTCCCCATTTACAAACTCATTTATATAAACCTTACTATAAGCACCTACCATTGATATGTTTGTCATGTGACTTGTGGTTCCGAAGTTATGGCTGATTAAAAATTCCACGACTATGATGCGAAAAATATTCGTCACTCGCATTTTTAAAACACAAAAGTTGAAACAACAAAACTGCAAAGCTTTTTACGCCAAACTTTAAATTCATAAACTGACAAAAAAGAAGAGACCGAAACTAGATAAATCGACGATAAACAAACAAGCAAGCAAGAAGCTCAAGAAGTGTTCCACCGTCTCATCCTCTTCAAAGCAGGATGGGCAAATGGAGTTGTCATTTGCGCCTATCACAGTGAGGTGTTTGTGCCACATGGAGTGACCAGTCAGCCGTCTCGTCTTCTCAGTGAGAGGAAAAAATTAGATAGACCTTCTGAGATTGAAGGCAAAATGAGTTTTGCCCACCTGCATCCACACGATAGCTCCCAGTCATTGCTGAGCGAAGTATCCACCCAGTTTATGATGGTGTCTTGGATGGTCGATGTGGGGAGTGCTATAACTGGTTGCGGATCGAGGAATGCCTGGTCTAAGGCAACTGTGGCCAAATGGTCAGATGTCTCATTTCCAGGCATTCCCGAGTCGCCCGGTACCCAGAGTAAAGTAAGCTCGTTATCTTTACCAACATAATTTAGTCGAGAGTTGCATTGCCGAGCTAGTTTGGAAGTACTTACTTCTTACTTAGTCGAGCGTGCATTGCCGAGCTAGTTTGGAAGTACTTACTGAGGGCTGGCCAATGCCTTAAGTGCAGCTTGGCTGTACCTGTAGACACGTAAACTCCTTCCCCTCCACCTATTTTCCACCGCGTAGTCTATGGCTTTGGGTATTGCAAATACCTTAGCCTGGAAGACCGAAGCATATTCCCCAAGAGAACAAGTGAAGCTTATCCCCACTAACTTCGAACAATACTCCATATCCTGACCCTGAGTCAGTTTTGGAGCCATCAGTTAAGATTCAACAATGTACAAGTGCGGGCTCAGTGCTGGAATTAAACCAGCATTCCTCCTAAGGGAATCTCTTCAACAAAGGCAATGGTGGCGTACTATCCTGTAGCACTGAATAGACACAAGCGCTCAAATATCTGCCACCGACAATTTCCGCATCGCCTCACTCAGTGTTATACCAACATCCGTTTCTTTTTAGCCTGCAGGTGGCATTTAAGGCTTCCCCACGTATGATGACACAAAGTGACGGTAAGCTCACCAGCACTTCAAGAGCACTATACACCACTCAAAAAAATGTAAGTTAAATAAATAGGCTATCAAGCAACCATTTTGGTTCCTTACTATCGAAACAAGATGCATTTTCATGGACCCCCACTTACAACTCGTGGACCCCATATTTTTTTCACGCCAACGTAGACCCCTATCGAGGCTCCCGTGGACCCCTGGGGGTCCACCTGGACCACTTTGGGAATCACTGAGCTACAATAACAAAAAATATATTCGCAAAGCGACGCCAATGTTCGGAAAAATGGTTATTGGAAGCTACACATTGTTTTCTTTCAAAGTTAAATTGCGAAAAAATATGTGAGGACTAAATATCTACGGAATTTAGCCCACACGAACGCCGCAACAATGACTACAACAGCAACAACAACGACTACAGCAGCGTCATCAACACGGCCAGCCAACAAAAGAGACCGTATCCACATTCCCTGGTGACACCGTCACCATAGCAACGCAACATGTAGCCATACGACTCAGCAACACGAAGAGCACCAGCTATAACAGATGTGACTTGGCAACATACGAGTCAGTCAGCACGGAGCGGTGGTCGTGAACGCACAGCTATTAGTGAGGAGCTCTTGCTTTGTACACTGTTCGCAATACAAGGCTTGGCTGTTCAAAGGTAGACTGCCGCCGCCCCACAGTCAACCGTGAGCCCGCGTGACGGCGACGCCCGTTCGCTCAACAGTAGAACCCCGGCGGAGTAGCGCCGGCATCGCCCCACCACCGCGCGTCAACGCGGAACTGCAGCTGTGAACGCACAGCTAGGAGGGCCCTTGACTTGTACACTGTTCGCAATACAAGGCTTGGCCGTTCAGGGGTAGAGTGCCGCCACACCTCAGTCCACCGCAAGACCGCGAAACGGCGACGCCTGCCGCACGGAAGCCGACGTCGTGTAGCAGCAGTAGCGCCGATGCCGTCCACTACCGGAGCGCCAACGTCGCACGGAAGCAGAGCCACAGTAGCGCCGACGTCTCGTAGCAGCAGAGCGCCGACGCCGCCCACTAGCAGAGCGGTGACACAGTAGCGCCAACGTCGCATAGTAGCAGAGCGCCGACGTCGTATAGTAACAGAGCGCCGACACAGTAGCGCCGACGTCGCGTAGCAGCAGAGCGCCGCCACAGTCCCGCCGACGTCGCGTACCAGCGGAGCGCCGACTCCGCCCACTAGCAGAGCGCCGACACAGTAGCGCCAACGTCGCATAGTAGCAGAGCGCCGACGTCGCATAGCAGCAGAGCGCCGACACAGTAGCGTCGACGTCGCGTAGCAGCAGAGCGCCTACGACGTCCACTAGCAGAGCGCCGACACAGTAGCGTCGACGTCGCATAGTAGCAGAACGCCGTCG